ATAGCAGTAGCTGGCTAGGGGCACTTAGAAAAGTTTGAAGATAAACGTGTAATATCAAATTTCACAGTGTTGCAACCCACCTGGTGAATTTTTCTACAGGTACAAATTCAGCAGTCAGCCTCAGTCTTGTCTCTCCCCCTTTCCATCGAGCAGACACCGTATCTCAAAGAATAATTATTGCTATGGTGATTTCTAAATTACTGGATCCATGGAGCCTACTTAACCTGATGTAAAAGGTCCTTTTTTCTTCCCCACTTTCCTCATTACCGAAGGAGAACATTTTGGCCCGAACAATGGCTGTATACATCAGCCCTGATTTATTAAGTTTAGAGGATTTGCACTGTTGTTTTACAAAATGGTGTCAACTTGCAGCATGACTCTATTTGATGATGAATAGCTTTCCCAGGCCAAAGAGCTAATGACATCCAGAGCTTCCGCGCCTCCCGCACTCCTGTGGCCCGAAAGGCCAGGGATAATTTCAGCCGAATCAAGCCCATAAAGAGAGAATTTATAATCAGCTTTAATGTATTTGGGAGCTAAAGTACCTTAGTCCTTCATCAAAGGGAATGATAAAAACCAGAATTAATATGGCTGGATTTAATTATTTCTGAGAGCGTAATTACTCTTTAGCTAACTGGACAGGAGGTGTGTTATTTCTCTTACTTTGAGCAGAGGAACGGCTTCTACAAGTCACCATCAGGATCTAAAAATGCATCATGTTAGTGCCTTAGCATTGATTGCAATACAAACAGAATAAATATTTGAATAATAATTTAAATAATGCAAGAACTATTTTTAAATTAAACGAGTATAGGCTTCGTTAGGAGTGCCTCCTGCTCACAGTTTCTTCAGCTTTTGTAGTGAGACTGTTCCTTGCCTTTAGGAAACATAAAATGCAGTAATCACTTTACCCCCTTTTTAAAGTGACTTAGGGGTCTAATTTTCCATTAGCATTAATGAGAGTTATGGGTATGCACCAACATGAGACTAAATGAGACTAAACCTTAGAGAGCCTTTTGATAAGTAAATCATCTTTGCATCAGCATTTTAGAGGCTTTAGTATCCTCTTTCCCCCCATTAGTTATGGTACCTGATTACTTTGTTGATAATTAATATTTATTACATAAACTTGAGCTAAAATTTAGGCTGGCATAGTAAAGCAGCATTATCTGTTTGAAGGCTTGTGAATTAAACATATTAAAATCCTTTTTTTTTATATAATGGATGCCTATTTTGGAAAGTGAAATGCTCAAAAAGTAAAACTAATTGGGCCTTCACAAAAGGTGAAGAGAAGGCTAGAGTAGAACAACAGTGAAAAGTAACTGAGGACAAAAGACTTCTGGCAATCATAGTTTTGTAAAATATTCTTTTTTGTTTCATTGGCTCATAGTCCATTATGTCTTAGTATCGCTATTCTTAAAATTAGTTTTTGTTACCTGAAAAGAATATTAAAATTCTAGAAGAACCATAAAATATCATATACTGAATGAACAGTCAGTGCTAAAGAAATAAACCTAGTTGGGGGATACATTTAATTTACAAAATCATAAGTTATCTCTAGAATATAAATTGAAAACTGCAGGAAATATCTAAAAATTATACACCTACTAAGCAATTTTAGTTCTGATTTATTTTTACTTAAAAAGGCTATTGCTGCTACATTTTGTAGGTTCTTGCTATAAGATTTTATTCTGTTTATCTGCTTGTGATTTTGGAGTGTTTTCCTGTGTGAGGACCCAAAGCATCAATCTTTCTTTATGATCATCCAGAGACAGCGAGGCTGTTAGTCAGAGTAATCAGTTATCTGGAGAATCAGAAGCAAAAGCCATTTCTTACTGATTTTAGAATGAGAGTTATTGCTGAAAGGGGTGGAATTCTAATCCAGAGCTTCTCTTAATACCACTTTCACGACTTCAGAAAGTGTCTTCAGCATCTGAACGTGGAGCAGGCAGCACAGATCATAACAAAGCTCTGCCTCCTCCCAGAGTACTCCAGGCTGAACCTCTTGATTTTGCCCTTTCAGACAGCCCTGTGCACAGTGGGTCTTGAGATGATGCTGCTTTTAGGGATTGCCCAGCAATTAAAAAAATATAAATTAATCTTCACAGCACCTCTTTGTGTTTAGATAAAATATGAGGAGGTTCATACCTGCTCCATGAGTGCCAAACTCTGCTTTGGTTCCTTAGACTCAGAGCATTACAGTTCCAGGAAGCAGAAAACCTCTGTGAAGATACAATAGATTATATTTGCAGACCAGAGTGAACTGTGGGAGAAATAATCTCTCATCTGTTTCCCAGGCACTGTGAGTGGTGCCTGGTGGCTCTGCCACGTGCCTCCACAGGGATGCGTCCCTCTGCTTGGGGGATGTGGGGAGCAGAGCCCTTGGATTGTGAAACAGATCTATGCCTATATTAAAAAACATGTTTAATTTATGACAACTTAAAAATAGGTCAGCCCCTTTGCAAAAAGGAATTGTCAAGCGCTGGAACAGGCTGCCCAGGGAAGTGGTTGAGTCACCATCCCTGGAGGTATTTAAAAGATGTGTGAGTGTGGCTCCTGGGGACATGGCTTGGCGGCTGCCTTGGCAGTGCTGGGTTAATGCCTGAGCTGAATCTTTGGGGTCTTTTCCAACCTTAACAAGTCTATGATTTTAAGGAAGATGGTCTAATTTTTTAAAAAAAAATGTTTTTCAGAGAACCTCAGAACTACATAACCATGAAAATTATCCAGGTCATTTTTAAAGCTAGCCCCAGTCATGCTTTACCATATTATAAAATCAGAAATTGTATGAGACCAGACATTCACACTGAGATGGTTGATGCAATTTGTAATTGAAGTTGAGATCTGAACCATGATCTACACAAAATACCTGCCAAAGGCCAGGTCTTAAAAAAAAAAAGTAACATACACTGTCTTGGTTTTGTCTAGAAAATAAATTGCCCATCTCTATGCAAGTTATTTGGAGAAATGTGTGTCGGTTGCCTTTTCAGATGTCACTTTGTCCCTTTCTGGTGACTTTTAAAATTCAAAATATAAGAAGCTACTAAGAACATGTGTGTGTGTATATGTATAAATATATATCCTTGCCTGTGTCTGCATCTCCATCTTAAGTGCACAGCTCTTACCATTCTTAAATTTACCCTTCCTGCTCTCTATGCTGAAAACCAGTAATGAAATTATTGTCATTCTTTGCATAGAGTTTTTATTTTTCTGATTTTACTCTTTTAGAAGTAAAGTTGTTATGGTATGAAAATGGTAGGCAGAGAGGTATTTGAATGTGTGTGTTTGGATCAGGGCACATTATCCAGATACCAAATATTGCAAAGATTATATCCAGGGCTTGTAGTAAGAAAAACCTGCATCACCAAGGCTTTCAATTGAAGGGAGTGATTCTTACAGGTGTGATTATAAAAATGCTTGTGTTTTATTTATGATGTGTAATTCTAGTGTTCTGTATTTAGAATGAGTTAAAAACTATACTCCTGGCTGATGCAGGAATTAAGGTATTGAGCTTTGGCTTTCAATAATACAGTCCAGTTTCTACATTCACAGTTAAAGTCTCATGGTACTTCATGGTTTTTTTTCTGTTTCTTAAACCCATGCACCTGGTAAAAACATTTTATGATTTTTTTAAAAAATGCATCACTCAAATACATGGTATTTTGCCTATAAAAGACAAGTTTAATGCTGAATGACTAATATCCTGTAAAATAACAGAGAGCTTTTTAAATACAAATGTTTTAATACTCCACAGTGCTTAGATTTAATGCATGTCTCTTGCCTACATCAACTGCAAATATCAACACATACTGTTCATCTCTTTTTTCGTTGTTGTTTTTGTCTATTGCTATTTTATGCATGAGGAATTTCTTGTTTTCTACTCTGTGCTTGGCTGGCTTTTTCTTTTTTTGTTACTTAGCCCTGAGTTTCTACTGATTGCTTTTTCGCATGCAAATTACAGAATGTCATGGAAATGAGAGAGCTCTGAAAAAAAAGGAAAGATAATGCTGAGTTCCAACTGTCTTTTGTTTGTGCGTAAGTGTGTAAAATATATGACTTGGAAATATTTTCAGAATGGCCTTTGACTTTCCTTCTGGTGTATATTTTTATTTCTCAGTAAAGTGGGCATTTTTCCCATTGGAAAACATGATAAATCTATAAATACTTGTTAATAATACAGGTGTTGGGCATAAAGGAATTTTGTCTCGTCATCCTTTTATGGAGATAAGGAATTATGAACTTGGATGCTTTGTCCAAGCTAAAATTTCAATTCAATACAACTTTTTGCATGAAACTCTGGCCCCATTGAAATCAATGGCAAAAGTCATTGTCTTCAGTTGGTCTGGGATTTCACTCTTGATTCTGGTTTATATGGATTTTCATGTTTCTTTACAAATATCTCAGTGGGTAGTCAAAGGTTCAAGGATATCTACAGTTCTATTTAAAAGAGAATGTGATTAATGTGTCAAAAACCCCAAAATTAAACCTGTGCTTATCTTTATATAAAGCATGAGCTTAAATGGTTGAATTTAGATAAATGAATTAGTATTTGACAGAAAATATTGTTTTAACCAACTGTCAAGACTTTTATTAACCACCTTATTGCATCAAGTGCAAGATGTAATTTGGCAGCTCTTGTCTCCACTATTCCAAATAACAGCAACAGGAAAAAACAATTAAATGAAGTGTATAACTACGGTCTATGGCGGGGTATGCTTTTAGTAAACAAACTTTGATTCTTCATTTAAAAACAATAAAGCACTGGGCACTTTCTGCTTCTTGTGCTAGATGTTTCTAATAGCTATACCCCTGAGGGAAGGTTTTGCTGTAATGTTTGAAAAACTTAATGAAAAACGGGTTGTTATAAACTAAGATTTCCCTCCCTGAAAATGTTTTTCTTGAGACGTCCGTGGGAATTTAATATTCACTGTTTTTTTTCCTCAGTCTTGTATATTCTTGAATTGTCTTTTTTCCTCCATTTTCTCCGTTCTTAATCCTAGGTCCCCTTACAAAGAAACAGACAGATGATTTAGGTGATAATGACGGTGCTGAAGATGAAGGTATTTTTTGCCGCCAAACTGATTTGCATGACAAGGATCCCTGAAAATCTTTTTTCTCCCCTCTTTTTTTGACTTCTTGTCTTCTTTTGAAGAGTTTTTTTGTTTTTTTTAATTCCCATTTTTGATGTGTTTTGTCTTCTTGCTTGTTGTTATACATATATATTTTTAATTTTTTAAAAGAAAGAATGTTGTTAAGTTCTACGTTTTGATACAAAACAGTAACAATATTTAAAAAGGAGGGTTTTTGTTTTCTTGAAATGGACTTTTGATATGTTGCATCCCACCTTTTGACTGAATTTTGTCCATACTATTTAAACTAACACTCTTTTAAAGTTTCTCTGTACACCTTTTTGCATGTTTTCTAACCCTATGTATTTCACCAAGTACAAAGATGTTTCTTTTTTTTTTTTCACTGACTGATCTCAGTTTGATAAACATAGAAAATACTGTGTTTATAAAAGGAAAAAATCAGAAAATTCTTTAAAAGTGTCTCTTAAGCAACAGAACTTCCCCAAATGCCAACCCATCTGCATTTAGGCTGCAATGAAAAAAATATTAATATTAAAGGCTACCCCACCTCCCTCCAGAAGGGAGGCAGCATTGCCTACTGGTGAAGCTCTGTGGAGCTAAACTAAAACTAAAAATTCCTGGTCTCTTCTGTTTTCTGCAAGCATATAAAGATGCTGATCTACTTGAGCTGACCCTTAGAAAACTCTATTACCAAGTAAAATCAAAAGTTTGAAATGTCAAGCATATTATTCTGTTCATAAATTATGTCTGTTGATCATGAAGATATGCAGATTTGGTATTTTTTCAGGGCTATGAAAATGGTAACAAGGGGCTCTTTTCCTGAGCAGTTTCATCCCTTCAAGTAGATGTGCTTCAGAGTTCTGAATCTCAAACACACGCTTTGATGGTTTATGGTCAATGAGTAAAACAAATTATCATGTAGGACTGGTAGAGTTGCTGCTTGCTTCTCTGTTAATATTTGGGGTGGTAGGGAGAGGTTGGCCAGATACAAAGATGAAACTTCACTTGTAGACTGAAAGGCTCTTTACTAAGAAATTTTTCATCACAGATAACATCAACTACTTAGCTTAAACAGAAGCATAGAGTCTTTCCAGAAAAGATTAAGGAAGGCAAATTTGAGCATTTAGCTTCTTACCCAATAATTGAACACAATTTTGTCACAATTTTATGACTGATTTATGATCTTCTTCTGGATCTGTATGTTCAGCATATGAATGAAAGCCCACCAGCTGGGCCAAAATTTGCAAGATTTGATGGTTTTGATAAATTGGAAATCTCCTTTGAAAGCTCTCCTGTGGTGGTTTAAGCCAGCAGGCAGCTAAACAGCACAGAGCCAGTCACTTATTCCTCCCTGGGGGAGAGAACTGGGGAAGGAAATAGAAAAGTAAAATTATTAATTGAGATAAAGACAGTTTAATATTACAGAAATGAAATTAAATAATAGCAATAATAATGATAAAACAATGAAGATGTGCCTAACATGAGGTACACAGAGCAATTGCTCATGGCCCCTGGATAAGATGTTCAGCAGCTCCTGAGCAGTGACCCCCAGCCAGCTTCCCCCAGGTTACATGCTGAGCATGAGGCCACAGCATGTGGAATATCTGGAATTTCCCTTTGGCCTGTTGGGCTCAGCTGTCCTGGCTCTGTCCCCTCCTAACCTCTCATGCCCCCCCACCTTACTTGCTGGGGGGGTGAGGAGCTGAAAAGTCCTTGCCTTGGTGTGAGCACTGCTCAGCAACCGCTGAATATTAACATTATTCTCACCCTGAGTGCACAAATTAACTCTATCCCAGCTGAAATCAGGCCACACACTATTCAGAGCTAATTATGACAATTCAGATCCTCCTAGCTGTATGAAGTCAGGACATTTATATGTGTGTCCGTGACAGAATATTGCAAGGGACATTCTTATGAAGTCTCAAAAATCTGTGATAGTGAATTAGCCATTACAAAAATGACTCTGTCTTGTTTTAACAGTATGTTTTAAGAAACAATGTGAAATTTGGGCTGTTCACCCAGTGGGCCTTTATAGCTCTCCTAAATTGCTGTATAATTGCCAAGACAGATGCTAATAACATCAGGTTTGTCAAGTCCTTCTCTGCTTAGAAGAGACTCCTCAGTTTACTGAAATTCAGCAGAGAGTGGTTGCTGTCAGAAAGTGCTTTAGTAGGTAGGTTCAGATGAGAGGAGGGATCTCAGTCTGCTGAGAACAAGTGTCCATGTCAGGGAAAACCTGTCTCCTGCTCTGACAATTGCAGGAGAGAGAAGAAGGGCTGTAAGAACACAGCAGTCCGACTAGAGGGGAAGAAGCACATTTACAACACTAATAAATCTCTGTAATTTATAGGACTGGGATTAATTTTCTCTGGCGTACAAGTGACAGTTTTGTTCTCCTTTCTGTGCCAATAGAAGAGTGCAGGCAGTAATTAGGCTTTTACTGCTTCCGAGAGGCAAAGAGAGACAGGGAAAATTTAAATTTTTATGATCACTAGACACTCAAGACTGCTGGGATGTCTGCTGGGTTGATAGAAGCCCTCTCTGCTGAGACCATGCATTTCCCAGTGGAGGAGCAGGATCAGATGTCCTGTATTTTTCTGAACTCCTGCATTTTTGTGAACCTGGTCTTTTGTGAAACTCTAGCACCAGTTGTACGTGCAGAACTGAAGAGTTCACAAACTTAGTCATATGTGCTTGGGTACGAGAAGCAAGAAAGACAAAGACCAAGCAAAAGGTCATGTTAGCTGGTCATGTTTCTGCTAACCTGTCCTTCAAAGTCTTCAATTTTGTAGTTTGGTAAATTTTAGGCAGTGTAAAATCCTTCAAACAAACAGCTGTGGAGAAAATAAAATAAATGCCAAACTGAATGAATGATGAAATTTGAGCATTAGGGAGAGTGGGCTGTACATGGTGCAAAACAGCTGCTATCAGATAGGCATAGAGTCCAAGTTATATAAACAATGCCCAGTGATTTCTAAAATGCCCAGGATGGTCAAAAAATCCGTCAAAAAAATCCATAAATCTCATGTTATTTATTGTATTATATCTTTCTGAAGATTTTCCATAGCAGCTTCTTGTAGCGAACATCTGGAGAGCATTTTGTGTTGTGCTACTCAAATATCTGAGTTTGATTAGAAGATTTCTCTTTAAAACACTGTTCAATAATCCTACTCCCATCAACTGCTGCATACCACTACCACAGTGTTGTGGTCCAAACCTTGCCAGGACAAGCACTGGATTCAGCAATCAAACTTGGATCTCTGGTATGTGCTGCAACCAGTAGACCAGGCTTAATTAGATCATTTTTCATTTTTGTTTTCAAAAGACCCAAAGGCAGTAGTGCACATTACCAGCTAATGATCTGCAAATTTGCTGTTTAAAAAATGAAGGTGTTTTCAAATTCTATGAGTGTGAACAGTCAGAAATCATATAAATGCCTTTTTCCCCCAGTCTGGATTCATTATTCTTTCTGTTTAACCCTTTCATTCCTACACTTTTATTGCTTACCTGTTTTCAGTAAACATTGAACAACTTGAGCAGGAACCAAAAACAAGTGTGGCAAAAGCATGTTCAACCAGTGAGAAGTGGGCTTTCCCTCTTTATAGCAGTGGTGGATTTGCCCATTTGCTGATCTGCAGGTATGCAATATCTAGTGTAGATGCAAGAGTTACCTTCAAATTTCTCAGCAGTTGCACAAAGTGTAACTTCCCCAGTCTGGAAACAAGACTTAGTTTTAAAAAGTGAACTATTTTAATCTTATTGTCTTGTCTTATTCTTAATTCTGGTCAGACAATAATTTAATTTTGCAAAAATTAATAAATAACAAAAATCAGTGACTCTTATGCACCCTTAGTTCCTGCCCACTGAAATCCTAAGCATGACCTAAAATATGGCAACACAAACCATTAACCAGCCAGTGTACTCTGGGATCAGAACTGGACTTCTAAGTAGTGAGTGTTGTATGAAATATCCATGAAGGATTGCTCAGAAATGAATTCTCATCCACTGCTCTATCGTACACACCTTGCCTGGCACATCAATCTGTAAATCTTAAATCCTTATTTAGTCCCCAGAGCTGTTTGAGCATCTCTCAGTCTTTAATGCATTCAGCCTCACAGCATCCCCCTGCAACACAGGAGTGCTGCTATTCCATTTTTAGAAAGGAGGAGTACAGATGCTGAGTCTGAGGAAGGCAGACACCATGTCTGTTGCTGAGAGCACATGCCTCAGAAGTGGGGTCTGCACTGCAGTTGATAGATGCTTCTGCTCTTCCCTCCTGCCTTTCAATTTCTCCTGTGGAAAAGGAGACAGATTAGGAACAGATGCTGCTGTTTGCTCACAGGCTGTAACTGTGATGATTCTGATAATTTAGTCTGGTGCTCTGTCTTGTATGGGCTATTGGACTTCGTTGGCAGAAGGAAGTTCTTAGTCCAGAGCATGTTTTAAATCAAAAAATTAAAAAACAACTCAAATTTTAAGTTGCTAATGATGCAGAATTCATCTACAAATCCCCTCCTATGTTGAACAGACTGCAGTGCCATTGGTGTGAAGGAGCACCTTGCAGAGTTGAGTCTCTCCAAACCCCCTATCACCCCATTGGGACTAAAATACTCTGGGATGCCAAGTTTGACATTCAATCTGCCTTCAGCTGTCATGGTAAGGAAGAGGGGCAGCAGCACTCTCTGTCTGGCAGTGGTTGCACGATTTTGGACTTGAGGGATCAGCAAACAGCAGAACACATTTGTCTGCCCTGCAAAGCAACCACATGCTCCAGCCTTGATTACAGCCTTCAGTGAGAGCCAGCCAGGCTGGGGGAACAGATCTGATCACTTTGGGTGAGCTTGTTGACTGATGCCCATAGCCAAATCCATGATTCCTGTTCCTCCTGTCACCCATCCATGTTAGCTCCCTGATTTCCTCTCCAGAGTACAGCTTCCAATGCCACTTGCACATTAAATTGTGCTGATTATATTTTCCCTTTACACACAGACACTCTGTTCAAATTGTGTCAAATTTTTGTGGTGATGTTATTAATACTTGAAAACACGCATGATAAAATTCTGACAGACCTTTAATTTAAGTACCTCTTTAGGGCTTCATTTGACTTTCAGCACTGCCAAGCATTGCTTGTACAGTGAAGAGTCTGTCAGCTTTTGCCGTTCTAACCATCATCCTTCAATAATTTAAAATGACTACTTACCTGGCTATTGAGGTCCTACTCTAATGGGAATCTGCTCCAGATGTTTACCTGTAAAAGCTTTGGCCTTTTTCATGCTAGGATAACATTCATATAGTCCTCCATCAGGATCTCAAGTAATTTTCAGGTGAAGGTAGTTAAGGGTTTGAGAGTGCACTAAATGATCCCCTGGTTTGACAGGTAGGAAAACAAACAAAGGGAGGGAATTCTATTTGTCTGAAGCCTGATGGATGCAGGCTGTATTTTAAAATAGAAAACATATCTAAAACTCCTGACAGAAGCTCTATAGTTACTTTAATAGTCTCAGAATATCTAGTTTTATATCTAATTTTAAAAATGTGGCATTAATAGATGTTTACATATTAGAATTAAGTGCACTAGTTCATTAAGTGGTAGTGCATCTATAAGGCATCTGATGGATTCAGACTGGAAGGTCAAATGCTGTTAAAAGTCTTTAAAATTATTATGAGTAGTACTGATTGGTACCATGCTCTACTTAAATATTTTCTAAAAAAGCTCATGGAAGAGTTACACACATATCCACATAACATCCTATGGAGGGCACACACAGGTTTTGCACTAACCAGTCTGAAAGTTTGCCACTGTTCTAGTCTTGTTTCCTGTTCAAAACCCAAGATTTACTTAACAATCTGCATCAAGCTGTCACAATTTTTTATGCCATCTAGAAAAGCAATGCTTGTGACATCGGTGCTAAACTAATTATCTTTTTGTGTGAAGTTGTCTCAAGGTAGGCTTTTTTTTCCTTTCCCATTTTAGTTGTTCCCTGCAAATTATGCTTGTTAAGTCACGTGGCCAATTCACAGCAGTTTTGAATGACTGAAGCTATAATTATGTTTTGTTATATATGACAATTGTGACTGATATTCACAGTCAGACCTGGTTCCCTGTTGTGTAATGTAACAAACATAGAATAAAAGTCAGCCCCATTCCTAAATTGTCTGTACCACAATTAAGATGAGACACAAAAAGTAGATGCAACAAACATTAGAAAGGTAGAGAAGAGAATGAATAATAGAAATAATTACAAGAAAGTTAATGTATATGTAATATAAATAAGGTTATTCTCTGCTGTACAGTAAGATCTACTTAGATGTTTTATGAACTAGCAATTTAAAACCAAACAAATCACAGCACTCAAAAATTATATGTGTGACTGAAACCAGAACTTAGTTGAATTTGAGAAGGATTTTTAACAGTGCTATCCTTGCATATGTCTTTGAAAAGATTAATGTGTCTCTTTTTAATTAAAGCAACACTTAATAAAAAGCAACAAAAATGCAGAACACAACTAAATTAAATCAGTCTATAAATCTACCCTTGGCAGAAATGCCACATTTACACCTAAAGTCTTGAGGTTCAGAATGAGGTACAAACACAATAGCTATTAATCTGCATCCATGAATAACTATTAATCTGCATATGAAAGTGTAACTACAGTGTCCTGAGATCACTCCAGCACATGCATAAAAAGGACTGACACCAGCCTGAAGGAAAAAAAGAAGGATGTATCATTTATGGTCAGGTTTTGAAAAGTACCTGAGTACCAGAAATATCAATTATTTACTTCATTGAGTTGGACACTTAACTTCAATAATCACTTTTGAAAACTGCATCTTTCTGCTACTTTCATACCAATATATAAAAGTGTTCCCCTCACAGAGTATTATCTTAATTCTTCCTCCATTTTAGTTTTAAAGAATGAGACTTTTCATGGAGGAACATTTTAAGGTAGGAATCAATTCTTGATTACAGTCTGAATTTTTTGCTCTCTTCCTTCGATCTTATAGTTTAATAACCTGAGTTGCTAATAACACATGTACTTAAACAACACTTTTCCAGCTGAATACTTGCACCTTTCAAACATTCCTGTCTGTAGACTGCAATTGATATGAAACCTCTGACCAAAATGCAGTGATCTTTCTTTTTCCCATGAAGAGCTCCACAGCTTTGTATAATCCATAGCCCAAAGTGCCACCACCTCAGCTGAATGCTGCATACCCTGGCTGATGTCTCCAGCAGAGTTCTAGATTCTCCCTCAGAGGGAGAGTTTCCCTTTTGTGGGAGGGATTCCTCTTATGACTGATGGCTTTGGCAAAGCAGCATGAGGAAAATTCATTCTGCATGTCAATTGCTCTGACATGGCACAGAGGCAGAGCTGGAAACTGGCCTTCCCTTATCTAGCTGATCTGTAATCTTTACAAGGATATTAGTAGTATAAAATAACAGTACTGTAGAGACAGAAATTACTCAAAGAATAACTTCCTTATATATGAGATTTTTATTCATGAATGTGTGCTTCCTTTCTCAGATAAAGGACACTCATTCTTTTCTAAATATTCCAATATTATTTTCCAGATATACAGGCCAGTGATACCAACATTTCATTGCTGTTCACAGTTGGTGCTCTGTAATTCTATGTAATTTTAATTAAAGGAGAATTCTGAGACAGATTCCCCCTGTGTTACCATCAAGCATACAATTAACTGTGTACAGTTTCTGCTGGGAACAGTCACACAGTGATTTCAGATTAATAATTTATTATTGCTTCCATATTTGTATCAAAAAAAAAAAAAAAGGCAGCATAGACTAAGAAAAAGCATCTACTAGAAACAGTATATGAATTTGGAAAGATTTTTTTCTTCAGTGTAGATTTTAAACCTGAGAAGCTCATAACTCCATCCTATGGACAGTGAAGATAAATAATCTCTGCAGCTTTACACTCTGAAAGTTGTATTTTGGAAAGCCCTCACTAAAAGCACAATCAAGGAGAGCAATACAAGCAATTTCATGCACAACCTTTCATCATCTTTTTGGTCTTGAATAAGTGATTTTTCTAGCACTTCCAATATTGAAGGCCCAATTTCTGATCTTGCCTGTTCTGGCATTTTGTTCAAATCAGAATCAATATCAAAGTAATAGTAGCAGTTGGCTTTTTATAAACAGAAACATCTGTGCTGCTGTTTTTCAACTAATTCCAAAAGCAGGGTTTTAGTGTAGCTGCCCCCACCTACTCCTTACAGTGCTTCAGAAACAATTCCAGCAGTTCTGCAGAGAGCTCCCTTGAAAGCTTCTAAACTAAGATCCTTCCAAATCAAAGGAATAAACAATACATCTGAGGTTTCTTCAAAAGCTGAAGGAAGCAATCAGAGGAGTTACTTGAATACTGTCATAATGACCAAAAAAAAGTGGTTTTGAATCAGAATGTTCAGAGCAGTTCATCACTGGGAAATTTTCCTATGCTCACTCGCTATTAGCTTTTTTTAAATTTTGAGTGACTATTATGCCATATTATGGTTTGGGTGGTGGAAGAGACTCAGGCACCCAGTAATTCAGAACAAAATGCAATTTAATCAGATGTAAGAGTTTAAATTTACGCCTAAGCTGATTTATTTCCTGTCCAACAGAAAACCCCTAACTTTTAAAAACATATCAGCCCATACTAGCTGTTTTGAATTGGTACTCAGGAACAATTCTCCCCAAGAGGAGTAACACTGTTCATATATTCAAAATTTTATTCTGAGTAGATGCATCTGTTTGCAAATAAGACTGTTTGGAGGTGGAGGGATACCTAAATCCAAACTCAAAACACTGTGACAATATCTAATTTTTTTGTCAGAGAGAATGGCAGAGCTTCTAACATTTTAAAACTATTCCCTGCCTTTGATGCCACTTTTGATCGTCTTACAATTTTAGTTTTTGAATACAGGGTGGGGATTTTTCGGTACTGTTTCAGGCAGTTATTTTTCAAACTATTCAGACCTTTTAATGATTTAGGAAACTAAGAAGTATCCATGTACCTTAAACTTCAGGATCCCCTGAAATTATCAATAATCTCAATTCAAGGTCTAAGTGCTAAACAACTTTTAAGTACTTTTTGACCTCAAACTGCAGATCCATCCAAAGACAGCTGTTTTTACACCACTTTTACAAATTAGTGGACAGGAAAAAATCAACACCTTTATGTACAAGCAGAAATCTTGTTTATATTAATATGTTGTATTTCCCTTAGTTAAGAGAACAGCAAGTTGCACTGAGCTTTCAGAAGTGTTCAGCCAAAATGAGCTCACTCTTATGTTAGTAGGCATTAGATAGAAGGCACCCAATTCAGCAGGGTCAGAATCAGAGCAATGCCTCACTGCATTTGAGCAAATGTGTTACCATTTTCAGTTCCTTTCTGCTTTTCAGAGTGTTTAAAAAATAAGAGTTTTAGTTAACGAGCAAGTCACAAACAAGCACTTGTATCCACCTGCCCATTTCCTTATGTAAAAGATGTTGCTTGAGAAACACTTCGAGAAAAAATAACCTCACTAAGAAAATAAACAAAAAAAAAAAATATTGCATGTATCTTCTTTGGTGCTTTCTTGAGATAAAATGTGTCTTAATATTTTTTCCAGACATTCGGGACAGTGGGGGACCTAAGCCTGTGATGGTGTATATTCACGGAGGGTCCTACATGGAAGGCACTGGAAATTTATATGATGGCAGTGTTCTAGCAAGTTATGGGAATGTGATAGTCATCACAGTCAACTATCGCCTTGGGGTACTTGGTAAGAAGCTTTCAGCTTTCCACTAATCCCTGCTATCTGCAATGCAATTCATATTATATGTGAGAATGTACTTTAAAAACTGCAGGAGAGAGACGAGAAGTATTTTTAAATTTTCTTTGTCAATATAAGGTTTGTATGCTGGGGATGAGATATAAAGACATTGCAGGTATTTTCTGGAAGAGCCTGCTGTCATGCTGCATGAAACAGGTATTCCCATTGCTGAGCTGTCCAGGCTGAAGAGTTTCTCTCTTTTTATTTTTCCTTTATTTTTTTTTTTGTTTGTTTCTGTGAATAACACTGATGCTTTAATAGATGGGTAAATTAATTTCTTAAAAGCTTCTAAGCCATAGAGGGTAGGGTTTTCTATTGGAATGAAAGAGAATAACATTGAATTAACATGATTTTGTCATGCTTTGAAAAAATGAAGAATGTTATGAAAACATCTTTTTGCCTGTTTTGAACTTCATTGGGGTTTTGAGTAATGGCATGTGTGTCATTCAAGTACGTCCAGTATTTCTTTCCAGATCATGAATTAGAGAATGAAAGAGTTACTTTTGATTGTTTCAAATACATTCAATAGAATGTACTCGTGCTGTTGGTGTGTGGTCTTCCTCTGGTACCTTGTATTTACAGAAAAAAAATTACTCTGCTATTTTCTCAGAATAGTCACATGCATGATAAAGTCCACCAGCTCTTGAGTGGTGTGATTGGTAGGGGGTTCTTCTGCATACTCTACCAAAATATTGCATGCTAAGACTCCTGAAAGCAGGGTTTGGGTCCTGGGATATAATGGAGATCAGAACAGTAACTAGAACACTTCCATAGGTGTGAGGGTATTCCCTGTAACATCTGAGAGGGCGTGACAGACCAAGTGTCATTCACAGCAGGGAATTTATTCTGAAGACCAGTCAATTTTATTTTCAAGTGTCTGCTACTCTGCTTTACTTTTGGGTTGTTGGTTTTGGTTTTTGTCATTGTCCTGTTCTTGGTGTTTAGAATTTGGTTAACTCAGTCTCCAAGTGCGTTGCTTCTGCTTTGCTCATCTGGGTAATTATCTTCCAACAGTTTAATTGTTGTTAAAAATTTGACGCCCTAATTTCAGGGGGACAGAATGGATTTTAACTTTAGATTTTGAATTTAGTCTACTGTGATTGTGTTTTACAAGGGACTGAATAATTTCCAGAGAGATCATAACTATTATTGTCTGGATTTATTTCCTTGGTAGTGGAGATTTCATTTGTGATGTAACACTTTAAGTGAGTTCTGGTATTTTGTATGGTTTTCTTCCTTCTGTTTTCTTCCACTTGTTTTCTAATTATGTGATGACTTAAAGTCCTGGACTCATATTAGTACAGAAGTTAATAATCTGATACCTTTGCCTCTAATCAACATTTCAGTTTTGCACCAGTGCCTGTCTTTGATGTCTCAAACAATATTTTTCTGTATTATATGCCAGTATAAAAGAAAGTATCTATTATCTGAAAGGGCTGTTTATTTTTGTATATTATTTAGTCTGATTCCTAAGTCATTAGTAATTGCAGTGTTTAAAAGGGGTAGTTGCTTGAAAGATGAAAATTAACATACCTTTGTTGATGATAATGATTTTTGCACTTGTAAATTAACTCTGATCACTGAGGTAACCCATAGCTAACATCTCATCAGCTTAGGAGGATTTCATTTTTGTTCATTGTGATTCTTTGGGTTTCATGGTCTTTACTGAGCTTCAAGGGTCAAAGAGCTGATTTTATTTTAAGTGGGACCTATTACAGTAAAACCTCTAAAATTCACAGCAGAATCCAGTGATTGGTATGAATACTTGATACAACGTTCTGCAAACCCTGCAAAAGGTGTGAAGGGTTTTCTTAGCAAAACCTATGCTGTTTATGTAGAAGTCATGCACATCTATTGTATTTGCTGCAATACCCATCATGTATTAAATAAATAATGATGATGTATGATTAAATAGGTAGTGGAGAAACAGAGCAACAATCAGAAAAGAAAGTTTGAGCAGTTTAAATTTTTCCTGCTCTTCCTTGTTTTCTAATCTACAGATACCATCAGAGTAGGACTGTGCAGAATCATCCTAGATATCAGCTTTTAACTTTTTGACATTTTGAAATTCCTGTTCCTCCTTGTTCCAGCAGAATGTTTCCCTTTGCAGTCACATTAAGGTATGGATTTACAAAAGCATAGGGAAAAAATTCTCAGCTTCCCTTTCCTGATCCTATCCCACAAGGGGAGAGGTCCAGCTCCACTGACTGGTGCCTGTGGGGTACCTGGATATCCCTTCACCATTGTGTGAAATACCTGGCTTTACAGGCAGAAGGAAAATTTAAGGAATTATTAACCACATGAGAAGATGTAGGGATGAAGTAAGGTCTGTCGTCTCCCTTTCACATGACCTTTATTATCTGGTTTCTTGTATCAGAATTTTGTAGATAAATGTCTTTATATAGATGATCTCTGTGAGTCATCTGCCATTATTTCACCAAGATGTTGACTTTTCTTAACCAACTGCCATTGCTATTTTCTGTGTTCTTTCTTATGAAAGGTTTATTTAGAGAAGGAGAATGCTTTGGGTCACCACTGGCTACTACTGCCTTCAATTTCAATAGTGGAGAGAAAGGAGAGAGCTGGTTTCTGCTAACTGGGAATGTGTTTCTTCATTTTATTAATTTATATTTTTTGTTCTTGGTTATCTTTAAGCCACAGGACTTTAATAGAAAAAAAGAATTTGTATTGAAGCTCACAAACTGAACAGGGGGAAAGAATAATGGCTAAGAGAAATCTCTAGTTTGAGCACTGCTTTAAATTTCTCATTTTTTCTTCTTTAAGAGGCAGTGGTTGTCCCTACAGAAACAGGAAATTGTCATTCCAAGGGTCTGGATCAAAGGTGGTAATAAATAAAAAGGAAAAATTGTCTATATTTTATATTTTCTGCTAGGCAATCACAATGTCTGCCCTGGGAAGGCAAACATCGTAAACTTTTAGACCAAAATTCATGTTCAAATGGTAGCACACCCATGAGTGAGATTGTCCTCATTATACCTTCTTTAATTATATGAAATGTTCCCTTGTGAGGGGGGTATAGGGACCATTACTGTCATTTAGCCTTGCATTTGTACTGTCACCCTCTAGTTTGAGAGTATTTTCTGGGATTACTGAATAGAAAACACTTATCCAGGTGTTCCACCACTTCAATTTTTTTCTTCCAGTTGGTATTTTTAATGCTGCAAGTAAAGTCACTGCAGCAGACTGGAAGCTCTGATAGCATTACTCAGTACATTATTTCCCAAATAACTGCACTGAAAGCAATGGGGCTCTTCAGTGCAGGGCATCCCCTTGTGACAGAGCCTGGCTGCCCCTAATTTGAAGTGATGTGATGAATTAGGGTACTGGAAAGGTATTTGCTCCTCCTGCACAGAGCTGCTTCTGAGAAGAGCTGTTCTTAGAATTCTGTTGTGTTGTCCAGCCCAAAATTCTACTTTTCAGTAGTGTGTTTTGTGAGCCAGCTGTGCTGGGCTGCAGCATTCATGCCAAATAAAACACACATTAGTGACAGAAAACAGAACAAAGAGGAAAACACTGTCACAAAAGCCCTTTCTTAACTTTTTTAGTGACTGTTGGAGCTTTATGGGTGAATTAGTGGCAGAGGATGAGTCTTATTATGCCATAAAGTGTTTTGTTGCTGCATGTCTGCATACATGAGGAAAATACCTCAGGTTTGAACACCCATTTGCTGCTGTGCAGAGTGATGCCAACCTGCAACCTCTTATTGACCAAAGAGGTGCATGAAATACAAGGACACAGCCCTGCAGTAAGTGCTGGGCAACCTCTGCCAAGCCCAGAATCTCTGCCCTCATCCATCCTGCTCTCAGCAAGGAGCTGCACATTCCCAACAGGCCAGAAAAATAAGGCACAACCTTTCCTTTATGAGCAAGTTTATGTGCATCAGTACTCTGGCAATTCCAGGATGCAGCCTGCTGAACCTTTCACGGCATGAAGAATTATCAGCTGACCATTTGCAGGTCACAGAGATGAGAATATATGATAATGAAAGCTACTTCAGTGCAACTTGGAAATACCTGCCTATTTCAGCAGTCTAATTCCATTGGGATTGACTAGAAGGTACTCTCCTGTTTTAAAACTCTTATCTTCTTAAATAGAATAACATACCATCATTTTTCCCATTGCTTTCGAACCAGATCTGCTTTTTTCACCATTACTCTGATTTTTTCAAATTTATTAATTTGATTTACCCTGATTTTGGTAATGATTTATTTTGTATTGTCTCCATCACATAGTTTGGATGAGTTTTTTTTACTGCCTTGCTCTTTATTTTGACAGCATGTTAACACTACTGAAAATATTAAAAAGAGGATTAAAATTATGATTCAAAATAATGTACAACACAGATATAACACTTTCAAGAGTTGCTTTAGATGAGATTAAAAGGCTTTGATCAACTTTATAAAGATTTTGTGATGAACTGATATTTTGTTTCACTTAATTTTTTTTCCAAATATAGCCTATTATGTTCTTTTTCTGCAACGTGGAGAGCTGTCTCTCCTGAAAAGAAGCCTTTTCACTTCAGTAAAAGTAAGCATCTCATGGCATAGTGGCTATTCAATGAAAGTAAAAGTGCAATAAGAAGGTTTATGTTAGTTAGATATCAAAGGAGATAAAAAATGTACAAAGACTCTTTTTCCTACTTTGCTTAGACTGTGGGGTTTTCTTTTATAGTTCACTATTTAATATCCAGTAAAAGTGGGAAAATGTTTGATCATTAGCTTTGGTGACAAGCACATCCATTACCTTTTTATGAAACCTTAAAGGTACTGTCAGGAGATGGCATTTTATTCCAGCTTTGCTGCACCTCTAAAGGGTCTCTGATGAGCCTCTTCTCTATTATCCATTTCCTAAGATGTTTGAGTAAAAGTGATAGATGAGCAAAAGATTATATATTATTGCCTAATTAAAAGTACATTACATTGAAAGTA